CTCTCCCTTCCTTTTGTGTAGGGTTGTTGGGGTATTTTGGCTGGGGGAGGGTATGTCTGTCTTGCTTTGAGTGATGTTTCCAGAATTAGTTCTGCTACAGTACAAGATGTTAAAATATACCTGGTGAGAGATAAGATATATCTGTATGGTCATATTTGATAACCAATAATAATGGATTATTTTGCTGAGACATCTGAATGAAGTACTAGTAAATTGTGATGTCTTGCCTACCAGAAATGAGACAGATGCCGCACAGTTCACGAGGCAGTAAGTTTTCATTTGCTGTGCTTCATGTCTGAAATGGAGCAAGTTGTAGTATCTATGTAAGAGCAGTTTGGGGAGTGGCTGCGAGTATGATATTTCCTCCCTATTCCACCTGCTTCCCATTTTCTCAGCAGCTCAACCCTGAATATTTTCTTCATATATGTTAGTGCCGGGAACCTTCAACTACTGTGTAGATATCATCAATAACTTAGGTGAAAAGCCAGTAGCCTCTTCCATGTGCATGGGTCCTTGCCATTGTGAAGAGTTCATTCATTTTTTTGGCGGTACAGGTGAAACAGCCAGAGTGGAGACTCAGGGGATATGGGCTAAATATTTCCCAGCACTTAGCAGTAGAGGCATCAACTGTGTGATTTCAAAGGCTTGTTGTCAATCTTGCACACATAGCACTTCTTTTTCTCTCTTAATGCTGGTATTGAATCACACCAATTACATTATTACAGTACACTGTGTAAAACATACTGCCACTCTGTATAGATGGGTTGCAGTGGATCTGGCAATTATCTGTTATGAAAGACAGAAGTTGAACATTAGAATGCCCGTGAATTAGGGGGCAGGCAGCAGGCACTCATTAAAAATTTTAATTGCTTTCTTTTTCTTCTTTGAAAAAAACCAGGGGGAGCCATGTTTCAAAGTGAGGAATTAAAGGATACTTCATAGCTAATTGCTGTGAGAAAGGGCTGCTGCGTGGAATATGCTTTATTGTAATTCATGTGATTTCTTGACGTTTTATTGAGAAGCACATCTTTGTACTGTGGTAAAATTTAGTTTTCTGCAGCATAACTGTGTGCATAATAACTGCTGAAGTAATGGCTCTTTGGATTTGCTGTGGCTCTTCTCCTTTCTATATGTAATAAACAAGCTGTAATTATCAGGGTCATTGATGTACAGCAGATTCTCCATGTATGAGTGGCTTATTTAGTTTACAGGTAAGTATATTGTATATGGGGATAGGAAGACAGAAGCTGTCTGTAGCTCAGTAGGGTTGTAAGTTAAATTGCAGATCCCTAGATAGCAGATCTCTTCCCTGCTGTCAGAGCCAGCATGGGTCTGAAAGTCCCATTCTGTTGCATTGGTGTGGTTTGGAGCCAGACCTAAAAAGCCTGACTGCACCCCAGCTGATTCTGTGGCTGGTCAGGTTGAACACTTGTTGTGCTTCAGGCATGATAGAGACATGGCAATGGCTGAGCGCTGGGTCAGCGCAGGGGTACCAGCCTGCGCTGGGGCCTTTTGGATGTGTATGGCTGGCAGGTGGGCAGTGTCCCTGGGCTGCGGAAAGGGAGGGATGAAGGTGCTTACAATCCTGGGCTGACTACAGGATGGTGCTTATCTCCCCAGACAGAATTGGTCTCATGTGTGAGCCACCTGTGTAGTCTGCTAATTGTGTCTAATGAAGCCCAAAATATGCAAACGTGATGCAACTCTGGGTTGCACCATTACCTAGGAGTATCTGAAATAAAGGGACATTGACTGTATATTTTGCTCTGTATAATGCAGGTTATGCTAACTCCTGATGGTAGAACTCCCATTGGTAGCATTAGCGACCTTCCCTTCTTTTAATGGTGTGACTCACCATCTCTCTCCACCCTGATTGTGTGCTGTGAGGCATGCCTGTGTGACAATGGGAACAGCTTAAATGGAAGAGTCATGCTGGGGGTGTTGAAAATGTATTTGTAGATGTGTTACTGCTGCTTGTAGCGGAGGAGAAGTAATGTGGTAGGACAAATTGGGAATTGCTACTTATGTTATTGATACACTGAAGATGAGTGTGCTACAAAAAACCCTTTTTCCATTTGTGCTCAGGAAAATTAGCAGTCTGAAACAACAGAAATGCAGATATCAGAAAAATGTTGGTGTAAATGGCTTAAAATTTATGAATTCTCAAATGCAAAATGAAATATTTCTGTGTGTACATTTCAGTGAGTAAAATTCCCTGTTCAACAGAATGAGTGTATGCTGTGTTGCAGTAATTCTGCAACTATTTCACACCTGTACTTACCAGTGACTGTCAGGATTTCTTGCTGCCAAAATGAAGCTTACAAAAACATAAACAAAGGTAAAGATAAAAAAATGGCTAGTGGTGATCAGGGTCACAGCACCCTTCCTTCTGTGAGAAGCAGGCCACAAAACATGCCAATTTCCCTGAGTGGTTTTCAAGAAATAGTGATTCACATTCCTTTCTGTGGTCTCCTGTATGTAACACTGTTGTAGTAAATGATGCCTTTTTATGTTATTATGTTAGATGCGTTCCTTGTTCCTGCTACTGTGCAGTTTGTTTGCACTGATAATACAGGAACTCATTGGGTTTTTTTTGGTTTTTTTTGTTGTTGTTGTTGCGGCAGGAATTAGCAATTAGAAATAGGTTCAGTATTAAAGTTGTTAGGTTGGAAGTGACAATGCATTTGCTGAGTAGCAGCTTTTATGCATGCAAGCATAGAGAATGATAGATTGCAGAGACCTTCTGTGGCTTTGAGATTTGAAAACTTGAACGAAATAAGAAGGTTTGACCTTCTTGGAAAGAATATTAGTCATGCCTTTGCATATTTATTTTTTTAACTGCTGTCTGCTTAGGTAAAGTAGGATATGTTCAGTATGACTGCTATTTTAGAATGTTGCATCCTTGTAATATGTCTTATATTCCTGCTTATTGCAGGATTTGTGCATGTTCTTCCCTCTAGTACCAATATCTATTAGCAGATGTTAAAGGGCACTCACAAGTTCTAATAATTTTTCTGTCGTGTTAATGCGTCAACTTTAAAAAAAATCACAGCTTGGTACTAGATGGACACCCAAAAAAGCATCAGGCTATAGCTGACTCTAAGGGGAGGTTGGTCATGAGATTACAGAGCATGGGGGTGGTATCTCAGTAGCAATTTTCTGCCAACAATTGTCATAACAATGTAACCAGGTGCCAAAAAATTGTTAATGCTGTTGTATATACATAGGAGAATTCACTCGGCAATAAGGATCGTTCTGTATATGCCTTTAACACCTTTTTTCCTTTTAAAGTAGCAGTCTTGGGCTAAATCCAAACAGAGCGTGAACATCTGTTTATTTTTTTTATTCTTATTTGTTTAGTTCTGCTAGTAAAGGTAGACGAGTGATGCTTCTGTACTCTGGTTGCAGGATATTTTTCTTTGAAGATGGTTTCATTCTCTCATGCAACCTGTTGTTCTGAACTATTTTTTTAAATCACAAATTACATCTTTTGCAGTAATATGAAAAACATACTTTTGTGGCTACAAGGGTTGGTGAAAGTTTATTTGTGCAAACACTAGACTGAGTCTGACCTGTCAGTTTGCCTTAACTGCGGTTGCCATTTAGCTCTTGGTTGTGATTGTGTTAGTTGTCAGTAATTGTGTTTGCTGTCTTGGCTGGAGGCTGTGATGAAGAGTGCCTGGAACTGGGGCATTACACAGATAATATCATGATGAAACAGCTGCAGCTTAATCATAATGAAATACGTGTGGGCTTTAAGGGCTGCATATACTGGAAATTTTTATTACACCTAATGCCCATGTTTAACCTTTTTAGGAAAAAAAAAAAACCCTCTCTCCAATTAGGAAGAAATAGATGTAAGATTATAGTAGTAAGTATTATAAAAATAAATCTCATAACCTCCTTGTTTCAGGGAGGGAATATTTTGTTTGTCTTTGCCACCAGTTTCACCTGCAGCATTCTTCTAATTTTTCTGATCTTTTAGATGTCTAGACCTGAATGTCTGATGTTGCACCCCTTTCATCTGAGGAGCCCAGGGCAACTCCCTGTGCTATCTATCAGTCAGTGCTAGAGCTCAATGGTGTCCAGCACGGCCTCTGTCAGAGGATGGGCAGTCTGGGTGAAGTAATCTGTGATTGGAAATCAGAGGGATTTTTCCTTTTACTCTGGGATTGAAATCTCCCTCTTTATGCACAGAAAAGAGAGAGGCTGGGATCTTGAGGTAAATCTGAGCCTGGCATATGGTATTTTGCGACATCCTTACAAATCGCTAGAGTGATCATTTTCTGTCAAAAGTAATGTTATTTTTTGATCTAGGCTGAGCAATGCACTGCTGGATTATGCAAAATTAACACTTACAAAATAATTTTTTTTTTTACGTTGTATTGGCCCAGACCTCTAATTGCATTAAATTGATGACAGGCAAATCTGATTACTAAGGCAACTTGCTCAAATTAAAAAATAAAAAGTGAATATCAGAAAAAAAGAACAAAGACACTATTGGGAAGAAATCAAGCACAGACACAGAGGACAGGGGGGTTGGAACTTGGTGATCTTTAAGGTCCCTTCCAACCCTAACCATTCTATGATTCTATGAAGACAAAATATCAACTATGGAAGCAGTTATCACAGTTGCAGGCAATTGAAGTAATAAGGAATGTGGTTTAAGGATAGCCCTTGAATTTCTAATTACTGAGGAAATGGGATCTGGTATGTCTGTTTTCTACTGCTCTGATTCTGTGAAAGAAATCCAGATGAGGTACTCCTAGCAGTTCCTTTCTGTGTGTACAGCTGTCTTCTCGAGTTTGCTTCATGTGGACAAAAAGTAACTCTATGGAAACACCTTCCTTGTGTTGATTTACATGTGGGATGATTTAAAAAAAAAAATCTCAAGATGAGTTTAAACAAAATGCCAAGGATGATGAGTGGAACTTTCTATGGAGGAGTCAGTTCTCTCTTGCTCTTTTTCTGTCTGATGTTCCATTTGTGTCTCTGCCCAGGCAAACCGGGACGCAGTGATCAGCCGAGCCCCAGATCAGCAGGATGACCGAGCTGTCAGCCTCCAGGATGCTTCTGCGGTCTACGACCTCCTCAGCATCACGCTGGGCAGAAGAGGGCAGTATGTCATGCTTTCTGAGGTACCTCCTCCTGCCTTCTGCTGCAGCTTCCACTTGAAAGGGTCAAGCAAATCCTGTCTTTGCAGTAACTTGTCAGGGAAGGTGAAAATGAGGTGTGCTAGTTGGCAACTAGTGGAAACAGCTACAGACCTATAGCAGCACAGGCCAGAAATATGCACAGAGCTGTTTGAGACATTAAAATAATTTGTAGTGGAGGTACTTGAGCAAAGTAGCCCTCATTTGAAGTGATGGTATATGCTAGCAAGCCTCCTTAACTGAGAAGACAGAAATCATGTAATTTAAAAAAAAAATCGCCTGTCTCTGGACCACACATTATCTCCCCTGATTTGATTACTGAGCCAAGCAACAGTCTTGACAAAATATATATTAAAAAAAAAAAAAGACTGACATTTCTCACAACATTTGTTTCTCAGTGCTTGGAGAGAGCCATGAAGTTTGCGTTTGATGAATTTCACCTCTGGTACCAGCTTGCCCTGTCCATGGTGGCTTGTGGAAAGGTAAGGTTAAAACCAAAGGACTTAACACTTTTCCAGAGGAAAATGCATCGTATCTAGCTTACTTATTTGAACACACATTGTCATTTATTTTGTTGGGGGTAGGTGCCATCAGGCAGCTAAGTGAAAGGATGGAAAGACAGTGCTGTTCTTTTAGACTCTGGTTGCACTTTGTGATCAGGTATGTGCATTTGGTATTGAGTACAGTTCTTTCCATGTAGTGTTTGCTTCTCATTGTCAAGAAGAGAACAGATCTTGTGCATAGCTGTGAATTGAAAAGCATTACGTATCTGTCCATTCTCTGCTGGTTCAACATAAGTGTGCTTATCGTAAGAAAGATACTGATGTTTAAAGCTGTCATCAACTCACTCTGTGTTTGGGCAGTTGACTTAAACCTCTCTTTAAGCTGTGGTTTCTCTGTCTGATCAGGGAAATGTTAATGCTTTTTCACAGAGAGCTTGTAAGGATTAATATCGCTCAAGTGTTTCGTGCAAAAGATACTGTAGAAAAAGAAATGCTGTGAATATTTGCATGGATGTGTTTTTAGTGTGTTTTCTTTTTTTTTTAAATTAGTATAGTATTTGTCAAAGTTACCAGTTAACCAGTGAGATGGCTGAAGTCCAGTTGTGAAAGAAAGGCAGAAGCAGCAGGAGCTTTTATTTTTTAGTCTTAAAAGAGTAGACTTTCTGCAGGAAACATGGATGGTACAAAATTTAGCCTGTTCATTCCGAGGGTGCCCATCTACACTTCCAGGAGATGTGTGAAAATTAATGCTGTGCAGTAGTAGACCATTTCTTACGGTCCTATGTTCTGTGCCCATGGAGTGTAGGGGAATCCATTTGGAACTGAGCAGAGAGAGCAACTAGCAGTCAGCTGCCAAATGGTAACTTATTACTGGTCTTTTATGGCTATAAGCTGGCTTGGAAACAGTGGTTTTGGAGCAGAAATTGGAGATGAGTATACAGTGGCATGCTTTTGTAAAGAAGTTGTCATCTTGTGATATGTAAGTGGCAGCAAAGCTTGGAAGATGTCTGAAGGGATTCCTTCACTTTTGTGAACATAGGCAAAGCCTTATCCTGGAAGACTGGCTGTTATGCATTATACCTCAAGAAAATGGGAGGCCAACAAGAGAAAGCCTAATAAAGAGCATCAAGGATGGCCAAGGGTATAGTAAGCAGGACTGTGGAAAGATTGAAATAATTGAAATTTATTACTTTAAAGGAGAGAAAAAAGTTGAAGAGAGAAACAAGTCTTTAAGAGCCCTTAGAAGAAGGGGTTAGTCTTGTTTGTGGTGGGTGGGACAAGGTATGATGCTTTTCAGTTGCAGTAACACAAGTTCATATTTCCTGTTAAGAGGCAAAATAATGGATAGAAGTACACTGGAGAAAGATTGCCTGTGGAGGTTGTGTGGAGCCTGTGCCACTGGGGATCTGTGGAACACCCTAGGCAAATATCAGTCAGCAGCAACGCCACTGTGAAGGTGCCAGGGGTGTACTTGATGGGACCTTGCAAACTCTAACTCTGTTCTGGGACTCCACAGTTGTCCATAAATCATCTAGGTCTGTTATAATCAAAAGGAGGCATCAAAACTTTGACAAAGGGTATTAGATCAGCAGGGAGCTGAAGGGCAATGTTTAATGAGAAAGAGGCTCACAGATTCCTGAGAGTTCTGTACAAGCACTTAAAAATCCAGTTCAAATATGAAAATCACAGCTAGACTTTGGAAACACGAAGCTACTGGCAGAATACTCGAACAATAAGCTTGGTGCCATAGTGCTAATACCTTGTACTGGCCTATGTCGGGTGTGGGGTTTACAAGTCTGGTCCAGCTCCCCTTGGCATTCATCTGGAGTTAGCACATTTCTGCCCTCTGTGCCTTTGCAAATCCTCCGGATACCTGATCTCTTCATACTGAGGACAACAATGACTATATAGGCTATGACGAAAGGGCACAGTATCTTCCCATAAACACTCATAGGACTTGTCTGGGAGCTTTATTGGCTTTACAGGTTGTGTAACCTCTTTCTCAACAGCAGACAATGCTGTAGCTCTGGTAATCTGCTGGAGAGCAAATCTAGACTTGAACTGCTGATGGTTGAGACAGTGAGTGTATCCCAAGGGTAATCGTGGTTCAATATTAGGTTAGTATGAAGGTGAGAAGTAGGACCTGATCTCTCACTTCTAACAATTTGCATGGGAACTCTGTTGTCCTCCTTGTATGTTTGCTTACCTCTTCAGCTTCCCTAGAAGTTACAGGATATTTGGTACTTAAGAGAAAAAAAAGGAACACAAGTATCTGTATCTGTAACTGTCCTACATTTTCAGATTTTCAAGTACGTCATGTCTTTTTGCCTGTACTTTAAATATTTACAAGGTAAAATAGCCTGATCTTGTCTATTGATGTAAAAGCTCTAAGTGTTCTGAGCCCTATATGGGGCAGAGGGAATTCCCTTACCCAACAATCCCATCTGTGCAGTATTTCGCTTCTAATCCCAAAGTATTCCCTGAGGATTCCTGTCATATACTCTGCAGTGCGTCATCTGGCTAATAGGAGATGTGGCATACATTTTTATACTGGTTCACAGCTTGATAGCAGGACAGAGTTCATTTAAAAGTAAGTGCTCTGGTGCAGCAGAACAAACTGATGAGAAAACAGTGTGGTCTGTCTAGACTGCAGAATGCAGAGTACACTTGAGCATTTATAGGTAAAAGATCTATTTTCACTTGTCTCAGTCACAGCCAATTCCAGATCTTATTTCTTGGTAATGAAATCTCAAAATCTCACATCCTGCAGTGTTACTTGTTCTGCAGTGCAGCAAATCATGCTCATAAATCCTAGGTACGACAGGAACAGTTTTATCAATCTGTAAATGCTGGAAACTTTGGTCGCTCTTTTTTTTAAAGCATGTTTTAGGATTTGCAAACTCTGATCTTATGTGCTGTAAAATCCTATCTTGCCCTTTATTCTATACTGCATTTGACTAGTATTACTTTTATTTTGTATGTTCATCTTCTTCAGGTTAAGTCATTCAAGTTGAACTTCAAACTATTTTCCTCCTCTGCCAGCCCAAAATTGCCAAATGGTGACTAGCATTTTTCACAAGTGATAAGTCTGAATGTCAAGCCAGCCACCTAGGCTCATTACTGTGTGTATGTTTGAGTTTACACATTATTTTATGAAGCATGTGTCCTAACAAAAATAGGCACATCACTGCAGTAAGTTCTTACAGAGCAAGTGAGGCCTTAGGTCTTTGTAAAAGAGTGAATGAAAAAGCTCAGAGAAGCATAACCTGTTTTCTGTCCACTTAAGTGGTGGAAATAATGGAGTGACAGCAATTTTGCTTTCCTGTGCTTCTCAACAACTTGCATAATGAGTATGATGGTGTTGTCTTGTTTTTTAAGCCATTGTTGGGGATGCATGTATACCAAGACGTATTTTTTCTGAACAAAAGGAGCATGTTTATTTAAATGATTAAAATCCACCATGAAATTTGTAAGACTTCTGTTGGCAATTTTAAATGAAATGTTGGGAAAGCCTAGACAATGGCAAAGACATGCCTGCTGTAGAAAGAGTACTGAGAGATGTCCTGTGTCACCAAGTACAGTTCTGGATAGACAAGAGAGGTTTAAATCAGTGTAATGCAGCATCACTGTTCTTCTGAATGCTGAACTCTTCACAGCTGCTTTAAGTTGCTTCTGCTGGTAATAACCTTCACAATGTGAAAATACAACAGCCAGAGGCTGAGTGGGCATAGCAGCTCCCTGGCTCTGCTGCCATGCATAGACAGGATGGAGTCTGAGTGGCAAGTGGTATGATAGCTGGATGCCATCTGGCAGAGTCCTCAGGCAATGAGATGAGCCGCTATCCTGCTGCCAGAGTAAAATGAGTGCAGTGGGTTGCATCTGCTGTCTCAAGATTTTGAAAAAGTGACATGACCTGTATAAAGCAGAATGGGGAAAGGAAGGACCAAACTCTTATTTACAGAGAAGACTTTTTAGTCCTCACAGTAATTAAGAGAGAGGCAGCTGTTTAGGGCAGACTTGTTCTCTGCTGTTGCTTTTCAGCTAAACAGTTTCTACTGGAGGCTGTGGACATTACCAGCACACAGGTCTGCTGCGGACTAGGGTAGCTCTACTGACATATCTGAAGTTGGAGGCAAAATTGTCATAGTGTTTAGATGATGTATTACAAGCACAAGAAATGTGAAATGGGTCCCCGTGCAACTTGCAAACATTTCCTTCTCCTCAGACCTATTGGATCAGATTTCCCATGTTCAGATTTCTGTTCCCTTCCACACCTAACAGCCTCATGTGAGACAGCCTGGGTGTCCCAAATTGTCACTGGCGCTCTATGGGAGTAGAAACTCAGAAGCACATCGTGGGATTGGGCTCTAGCTTAAATTGGCAATACTTCAGAAAGTCTTCTAGATCTGCATTGTGTCCTTTTTTTTTTTTTTTTTTTTGTCTGTCTGTCATGGTTTTAAGGCCACCCGGCAACTGAGCACCACGTAGCCTCTCGCTCTCTCCTCCCCTCTGGTGGGATGGGGAAGAGAGCTGGGAGAACAAAAGGTAGAAAACCTTGTGGTCTGAGGCAAGGACAGGGAGGCTTCACTTACCGCTTATGGTCATGGGTAAAAAACAGACTTGACTTGGTGAAAACAGAAGCAGTTTAATTTTTTAACAATCAAAACCAGAATAAGACTGAGAACTACATCTTGAAAAGGCACCTCTCCTCTGCCCCTCCCTTCTTCCTGGGCCCAAAGGCTTTATTCCTGATTTCTCTACCTTCTCCCCAGCAGAGGCGCAGTGGGGCAGGGAACTGGGGGCTGTGGTCAGTCCATGTACATGTTGTCTCTGCTGCCCATTCCTTTTCAGGGTAGGGCTCCTCACAGTCTTCCCCCATCTGGAGCATCTGCAGGAGAGGATAATCTGCTCTTACCCCTCACGCTGTATATTCATTTAGGGGATGAAATGCAGCAAAACGTACATAAAGGAAGAGCTCG